CTGCACAAAAGATATGTAACTAAGAAATCTTGCTTATTGATTAAACTTTAATTTACCAATGTTCCATTGTCAGATATCTCATAAGTCGATGAGTACAAAAAATCTAAATGGAAAGCATGTTACAGAATTACAATGGCTCCACTCTATTCGGTCAAACCTTATTAGGGATGTCAGAGTTCATAATTTTTGATTTGGCATGTGATGCCATGCCAGTCATCAACTAAATGCTGGGGCTATTTTATAGTTCATTAGATTAACCATGGCCGCAGGGGAATGAAAATATTCTGTAGTTCATTAGATTAACCATGACGGCTGTAGGGAATGAAAAAATTATGCTTTTAAACATAACAAGTACATAATTGAAAAAGGAGCAACAATTATAAAGGAGTCCAATTGTGTGTGTGAAAGCCTTAATTTACTAACTCTATTATCAACCTTGAAACTTAATTCCTTTTTATATGAGCTTAGCTCAAAATTAGTGTTTGCCTCCCTTTCGTTTTATAGTAGTGTCATCATACGCCCTGCGCTAATAATAAAGTCATGTCAATTTCGAAAGAGTAAATGACATAACATAAAAGGGAGGAGGAGAGTCAAGTTATGCTCATTAGACCTTGCACATTCCATCTCTGTGTCAATCAATCCGGAAATTCTCCCTTTATGAATTAGACATCTACTTACCAAGTGAAAGACAACAAAAGTGAGCAAAAAATAGTTTTCTGATTTAGAAAAAAAGATTTGAAATTTAGGTGGTTCAACAATTAGCTATGTATATGCAGTGTATTCCTAAAGATGCAATGTGTGAAGACTAAACTAATTGGAACCGAAAGATTACCGAGAGCATTATTTTTGTCTCAAATTCAAAAGAAAATCAATATAGATAATCAAGAAAAGATCATTCTTACATTCTCATAAAAGGTCTCAATCCAAAAATACAGGAATAGATCAATCTCACAATGGCGTTTAGTTGTGGCACAATAATAGGTATTACTGTTGCCTCCCTAATTTGATTTAACTGCCGCATGATATTCGGAAGCAGAAAATACAAGATAATAGTAAGTAGTAGAATGTAGCTTTTGTGCGTTGAAAGATGGTTGGAATAATTAGTTCTATAGTGGCTCTATAGACCCGCAAAGCAGTGGATATATGATTAAGTTGCAAAAAATATGTGGCAAATCATCTTGTATTGGGGGGAGGGGGAATCGAAACCACTTATGAAAAATTTCTGTAAAATCTTTGTATAAAGCAACATTCATTGTAACTAAATCTTGTATTGAGAAAAAAGTAAAGGTAGAATTAGTTATAATTTTTTTCTGCACAACCTTTGTATAAAGCCTCAATCTTTGTAACTAAATCTTCTATGTATGTGATGAAAAGATACCTGATCATTTGTAAATGCTCATGTATAACAACATCAAAACAGAACTTATGCTTCTTAATATAAGCAGTGAAATCCACCTTCTATAATACAACCAAACATCAATTCCTCCCAAATATTTATAGGTCAAATTAAATTTATCCTCAAAAAATTGGTAAATATTAAAGTTAAGTCACTATGAGCTTGTTGATACAGTTACTTTCTTAATTTTAATATAACTTTTCTATAACATTGAGGCTGGAGAATTTGATATTCACAGGTTTGTATTTATCTGAAATAGAAACTCATTTGTTCCAACTGCTAGACCTTAAAAATTATAACAATAGTGAAGTGCGTAAATTTTAATCATACCCATAATAGATTCCTTTATGGCCTTTGGCAAACTGAAATTCTGAGCCACAAATAAGAAAATAGTATGAGCATATATTTTGAAGCCAAATAAAATAAATATCACACAATAAGGATAGAGTTAGTACCAGTTTGGCTCTGTTAAGAAGTTGGCCGACATAGGTACAATTGGTTCCACGAAATACAACAGAAGTAGCAGTCATTGGTACAAAAGTCTCAACAACAAGCTTTGTTCCACAACTATTTTGATCTATCAATAATACGATTTGTGGTGTTTTCATGTTCTCTGGCCTTGTCCAACATTTATGATCTTTCACTACATCTCCAACCTTAAAAAAATGCAAAATTAAATTTTTAACATTTAACAGACATAGTTTATGAAGAAAGTTAGAATTTAATTTTTAATATTCTTGAAAACTATTGGGACTAACATGAATGTAGAAGCGATTAAGCTTAACTGAATTTCAAGAAATAATCAATGCCAATTTGATGGCAGATTGACAATTTTTCAGATCATTGAAAATTGCTCTGTTACTTTTTCTATTGAACAAATTATATAACAATGAAAGAAAAGAAAAGCAAAGAGTGAAAGGAAGAAAGAGCTGGAAAATTTATTGTTGTTCTCTATTCTAGTTAAATATTTGTTCATAACGTAGAGAAGCAAGGAGTGAAAGGAAGAAAGAAATAAAAAATTCGTTGCTCATTATAAGAATTTAATGAGTGTTCTAGAATAACAAATCATAAAATCTACCTCCTGTAATCCAGAATTGTTGAGTGGTATGCGAAGAAAGGAGAAAGGATTGGAGGTATGTACTGTAAAAGTGTGAAACTGATATGAAAAAATCTAAAAAATCATCTCACTGGACACCGATGAAGATGGATTTAGGAGTTGAGATCATGGGGCGATATCGTGGGTTGTTTGAAGCGCAGATTCCTTAGGTTTAGAATTTTAGACGGAAAGGCGCGCATGAAGGAGTTATTCCTTGTTGGTAACTTCCGAAGTTTTATTCCTTGTTAGGAAATTAATTTTTAAAAAATATAAAAAAATTGATATATTCTTTTTAGACCTCCACAATCGTAACTTCCTAAATCCTATTCCCCAATTATATTCCTTCTTGGTAACTTCCTCATATACTATGCCTTGTTGGTAAATTTATTTTTTTTAAAAGTAAAAAAAAGTAGGTCTTTTATATTTTGAAATTCAAATTCAAATTCAAAAACTAAACTAATTTTAACTAAATTAACTAACTATGTCCTAAAATTATCGCATGACATTTTCTTCACGCAATACTTGGCGAATTCTCATGGTTGACTTCTTTAGCAAAACAAATGATAGAAGAGGGAAAAGTTATCGGATTGGACCCACTTCCTTACTTACAAGTTACACGTCGAGACACACCCCAAAAAAGAATTTTCTTTCGGGAAATTACCACTATGTCAATTTATAAGTAGCTCATTATAAAAATTGGCTAATTGATAAAATATTACTAATATTAGCCAAATTAGCCAATTAGCTATTTGTAGCAAAAAATATCCAATTTTTTCTTTGTTTTGAGTGGGTGTTATTAGAATAGATTGGGCACAACTTAAGGAGCTTGAATCTCAGTTTTGGGATGATTTGGTGAAGTTTTGAGGTGGTTTGAATTGAAAATTTGAAGTAAAAGCTGAACATGAAAAAAAATGATATGTGTATCACACTGTGTATCATTTGTGTATCACGTATGTATCATATTTGTATCAATTGTGTATCACATGTATATCCATGTATACCTGTGTGTGTGATACATGCATGATACATGTTTGATACATGTGTCGCAGAAGACTTTTTTCAACTCGATTTAATTACGAATTTTGATACAAAACCAGTCCAAATCACCTCCAATCTTCCTCAAATTTTGTATGTTGACTTATGTATATATTTTCAATGAATTTCAACTATACCCATTGAAAAAGTTCCTTTTTTGTTTAGATTTTTGGAATATTATATAGATTTTTGTATTTCATCACCTTATTTGCTACCTCGTCCATGAAATTTCCTTTCCGTCTTGTATCTAATGTTGTTAATCACGCTTAAAAATATGGAAGGTGATTTTTGCATGTGATTCTTTGAGAGAAAGAACCCTATTATTTGGTTTTTCAATTTTTGTTGGCTAGTTTTGGTAAGTCTAATGACTAATGGCTAGAGGTTGGTAAGTTGAAATTTATTTGGGACATTTGTGTAAGTTTCCCTTTTCTTTCTTCACTGAGCTTCTACCAATTTCCCTTTTGTATTTTCTCTGATATGTTAATTGGATTTTCATTATTTAAATTATTTACTTAAAAAATCAACTTACTATTAGGCGATTATAATCCGATTATTATATACTCACTTTAATGGAGTAAACAACATCTACATGATAGTATATAAATATGTTCATAAAAAACCATTGCTTACTTTTCGATTGGCAATTCTCCCTACAATCTTCAGTAAATTTGAAATAAATGGGATTAAATTAAAACACTCTCTCACAGGAAGAATTCGTCCAAAAGGGGACTAATAAAATTGTGTAAAATATGTAAATTCCTAATTAATCGCTCTTGCATGTCGAATCCTTCTTCAAATTATTGATTCTAAAATTTAATTTTTTTTTTCACTGCTCTTTTCAGACTGACATAATATGTAAAAAGAAAGTAATAAGAGACAAAGTTTCCAGCAACGAATAGTATAAACCTTTTAATTTCTGTTGTAGCTTAATGAATTTTATCTATTTGTTTTTTTTGTTCATTTATTTTATACTAAAGCAGGGGATAGAAAATTAAAATTACATACATACTTTGCAACTCACTGAGCCTTACTTTGATTTTCCACTTTAATATAATAATTATTATAGTATAATTTGTTATTTCGGTGGGGATAATGTATTGAATAATGAATCTGGATTCCAGATATCAGAGCGGAAATAATACGTATCAAATTAATAATCGGATTTAGTCTTTTCAGAGAATTTAACATTGAAATTAGTCTTGGAGTTACAGCAAAAGATACTGAAGACTAAGTAGAGGGCCGTGGAACATGAGGGTTAGTTATTCAGATATAAATCTATATCTTTCCCTCTTTAAAACTAAGGCATAAATTGTAGTAACGGTAATATACTCAATTAGTTCCATATCAATATCTAATTATAGCAAATAATTTGTAACGGTCACCATTTTTGCTACAAAGCAAAATATCAAGCAAAGAAATATTTAGCGCCAATTTGAACTTTCTCTAAAACCAAACAATCTCTAAATTTCAACTATGTCTAGTGGAGGTGGTGAGAATGGAGCTAAAAAAGCAGAGGAATTACATCCTCATCCAACTATGGAGCAACTTAAGAATGTACAATACTGTGTTAACAGCCCACCACCTTTGTGTACGTGACATTATTTAGACAAGACCATATTGTCAATTGTTGTTAATTTCGTCGAAAAAAGATATTGAACTGACTATGATTATTTTATGAAAAATGCAGCAGAAGCATTATTCTTGGGGTTTCAACATTACATATTGAGTCTTGGTAATATTGTTTTAATTCCTAGCATCCTAGTTCCTCAAATGGGAGGTGGCAATGTAAGAATTTCCTTCAATTCCGTAACATTATGACTATTTTTTTTTTTTTGGACTGCTAAACTAGCTAATTGATATTGTCTATTATCCTTTTATTGATTTTGAGACAGTGATCTTAAATTGTAGGATGAGAAGGCAAAAGTAGTACAGACAATGCTTTTTATTTCAGGAGTAAATACATTACTACAATCTTTATTTGGGACGAGATTGCCATTGGTAATAGGTGGTTCATATGCATACTTGATACCTGTTACCTCAATTATCCAGGCTAATAGGTCCTCAGTTCTTCAGGATCCTGAGCTGGTAGTATAACATTTTTATCTCTTTCTCTCTTTTTTCGGGTAGGAGGGGTATGGGACCAGAGACGGATCCAAGATTTAAACTTGATGTGTTCAATCTTTAAGGTTATTCACACTGAACACATTGTACTCTTGACTATGTTGCTCGAACTCTCCAAAAATGCCGCTGGTGCGTGTTGAATCCTCCAAAAGTAGTGCATTTTTGGAGGATCCGACACCGACACGGGTGCGGCTTTTTTTTTGGGGGGGAGGGGGGGGGGGGGGGGGTAGGATGGCGGGAGGTTGTCAATTCAGCTGATGTTTCTTGAATTTGTTTTTGTGACTGATATTCACAGAGGTTTATGCATACAATGAGAGGCATACAGGGAGCTCTTATTGTTACTTCTGGCTTCCAAATTGTAATGGGCTTCTTTGGCCTGTGGAGAAATCTTGTAAGGTGTGTGTAATCTGAAGTTCTTGTTTTTTTCAGTCTTGAGCATGTGGAATATTCAACTTTAGGTCATCAACTTTATTTGCTGCATAACTTCTGCATTTCTTGTATAATTTAGGTTACTTAGCCCTCTATCTGTGGCACCACTTGTTACTTTGACTGGACTAGGGCTCTACCATCTCGGCTTCCCATTGGTGAGAATTTTAATCCTAGACTTCTCGTATAATATATGCTTTTGATTAAAATATGCTCTCTGGAAAGATGAGAACATCAGATTGCTGAAACACATGTTCACTAATTAATTTTTTTGTATTCTTTATTTTGTAGATTGCAGAATGTGTCGAAGTTGGGATACCACAGTTGATTTTCATGGTTGTCATCACACAGGCAAGTAATGCCATTCACTATAATGAATTTAAGTTTGGATTTATATGCTTTTTTATGAGTACCTTGCTCTCTTTCATGGAGTTGTTGAAGAGGATACCGTAGCGTATTCTCTTTACTAAAACAGTGATATTGGTCAAGTGATTGTGAAATGGTATAGCCTGTTGAGTAAAGGTAAATATATGAACTTGCTAGAATAATTTGCCGATCAGAAGATCCAGGATACACTGTAGCAATTTTGTGCATTGAGCATAAGGGTTAAAGAAGAGCTTGCTCATACGTCGTGATAGTAGTTATTCATATCATATATCCTCTTCCTACTCGAATTGATTCCCTGAATGTACTAAATTTCTTGCAGTATCTACCAACATATCTCAAATTGAAGAGGCCGATATGTGACCGGTTTGCAATGCTCTTCTCTATAGCAATTATATGGTTCTATGCAGCAATCTTGACCTGGAGTGGTGCATACAAGAATGCAAAGGAAGCAACTTGCCGCACTGATAGCTCTGGACTCATTTCTGGATCTCCTTGGTGAGATTTCTTTCACTTATATTCACGTTATGAAGTTGGAAATTCCTATATTTTCTTTGTTTAGATGTAACCTTCCTTATTGAGTTTGGTTTGAAGAAAATTTTGTTCATTGAACTATTGGGGGTTCAGGAAATTTGTTTATTGCATTTGGATTCAGGAAACTTTAATCATGCAACTCGCATCACTTTATGCAGGATAGATATACCATATCCATTTCAATGGGGGGTTCCTACCTTCAACTTTGGAGATGCTTTAACCATGATGTTCGCTTCTTTTGTTGCTTCAGTTGAGGTCTGCTCTCTGATCCTCTACTTATCTTTTTGCTATTGATATGTAACACAGTCTTCACAGTTAACGTTGTTGAAAAACTAGGATGCAAGAAATGATGTTCTAAATTGTTTTTGGTGCACTGAGCTTTTATTTTCATACTAAAATCTAGTCTTGAATTCAATTTGAATCCTGTTGTTGTGTAGTCAACTGGTGTATTCCTTGCATCAGCGAGATATGGAAGCGCTACACCAGTGCCACCTTCTGTCATTAGCCGGGGCATTGGTTGGCTGGTGAGATCAAATGTTCTCTTCTATATATCCTCTCTGTATCGAATTTTATATACATTGTGAACTTCAAATTCTTGGCAGGGGATAGGGACTTTGCTAAATGCTGCTTTTGGTTGTGTCACTGGTTGCACTGCTACAGTGTAACAATCTATCATCTCTATACTGTTTTTCCAATCTAAATTTCCTTCTACTTATTAGGCACGGATGGCTACAAACGGTCTTATCCGTGCTTGAAATTTCATGTGTCATGCAATCGATTAACTATGATTCACATAGAATTAAGCTGCTCGAATTGAGCTTCTGTTGTATTTACAGGGAAAATGCTGGTCTCTTGGCAATGACAAGAGTTGGAAGCCGAAGAGTCGCACAAATATCTGCTGCTTTTATGATTTTCTTCTCCATCTTAGGTATGCTAATGCTAATATATTGATTCAAGGACTGACTGGTAAACTCTTTTTCTCTACCAAAAGTAAACTCTTTTCTCTATATACTAATAATACTGATGTATTGATTCAATGACTGACCTACCTTTTGTTTGCCAGGAAAATTTGGAGCAATTTTTGCTTCAATACCTGCATCAATCATGGCTGCCATATATTGTTTTTTCTTTGGATATGTCTGTATGTATCTCTTACTTTTTACCATTTCGTTAATGCAACTTTCTCCAATGACAAATAAATTTGGCTCATTGGTACAAATGCAGCTTCTGCTGGTCTTGGATTTCTCCAATTCTGTAACCTTAACAGCTTTAGGACAAAGTTCATATTGGGATTCTCTCTTTTTCTGGGATTTTCCTTACCTCGGTACTTCAGAGAGCATCACCTTTGTTCTGGATCTGGTCCTCTTCATACACATTCAAGATGGGTAATCACAACCTTCATCCACTAATTAAACGCGATTACTGTTACAAAACAACCTTGTACTAATGATCTTGTCGTTGAACTGCAGTTTAATGACATAATGTCTGTCATCTTCATGTCACACGCAACGGTAGCTGCTATAGTCGCTGTATTTTTGGATAGGACTCTTCCATTTAGTAACGATGAAGCTCGAAAAGACAATGGTTCGCATTGGTGGGACAAGTTTGTGGTATATAGTAAAGATGTTAGAAGTGATGAGTTCTATAAATTACCATGCCAACTTAATAGGTTCTTCCCACCTTATTAGTCAAAAAATATGCATTTACTGTTTTGTTTGGTTGTTTCCTTCATAAACTCTATTCTTTCTGTCGTGTGAAAAATTTCTTCAACTGAATGCATTCTTTGTTTTGTTCCTTTTTATCAAACTATATGTCAGTCTGTTGCCTCAAATGTGTCTATCAATGATGATTAATTGTATTATAGCAAAAACTTTGTCTAAAGCTAATATCAATCGTAATGAGTCTTTTCCATGTCTTGTTACTTGCTTTTTTTTTTTAACAATTTTCTGTTTAAAATTGAAATGTTAGTTGGAATGTGATTTGTTGTTTTTGACTTTTTTTCTTCAATGAATCATTTTTTTAAACAGAATCTAGATGTGAAAGAATATATATTCTCTATCCCCTAAATTAGCCTAATTAGATTCAATTTTTTTTTTTTTACATTTCTTGACTTTTCGCTAAGAGGGTTTTTTTTGTACTAATTAAATTCACTAAGTCTCTTAATTCTTAATCAATGAGTTAGGCTAAAATATCAAAATTAGCAAAAACTTGACTTAATCTGGACCTTTTTTTTTTTTGGTTGAAAGGATATTTATATATCTAGCAAAAGAAGTTACACATATTCATTGTTGGGGTACTGAAGGACCCCTACTGAAGCAATGTTTTGGAGAATTGTTTCCATATTACAACCCACAAAAATCATAACCAAATCGGTTCCTAGGATGTCTGCCAAAAATACATTATTGGCAAACATCGAAGGAACTGGTAGTACGCTAGATCTGTTCAAAAAGACTGCCTTTGTTGCTTCCTTGGCTAAAGTATCTGCCACCCTATTCTGCTCCCGGTAAGTGTGCTTCACCACGACCCTGTCCATCCAGCATATTATGGACCTGCATTAACAAATTATAGGATCGTAAGTGAGGATATCTGTGATTAGCATTTGCATAATTTCAGTTGAGTCAGTATTGATTTTTAAAGGAACCAAATTATTTTGTTCCGCAAGTTCTAGTCCTTTTAGGAGTGCCTTCAGTGTTGCCGAAGTGTTAGTGGTATGGGGGATATTCTCCATAAACCCAATTATCCTATCTCCATTGTGATTTCTGAATACTCCACCTATTCCTCCTATTCATGGATTCTCTTTAGCTGCTCCATCCGTATTCAGTTTGTAGGATCCTCTCCATAGTGGCTCCCATATGATTATGATTTGGTGTGCTGTTTTGGTGAAAGCATTTTCTATCAACACAAGGTATTCTGTGGCTTTGGAGAAGGTGTTGGAAGAGTTGACAAACTCTTTTTTGTTATTAAAGAGATTGTTGTTTCTGGTTAACCAGATGTGCCAGAAACAGAAGAGGATGATGTTTTCCTAGAGAATGAGGCTATTGAAAGGCATTTTCCTAATTGAAACCCAAGTTGATGGCCATTGTTGGCTGAAAAGGTCGGGTTCTGCTGTTTGTTTTCACTGGATGCTTTGGAGAGTAATTCGTTCCAAAAGCGTACTGCATTGGTGCACTCAAAGAAGATATGGTCAATTGTTTCTTGATTGCAGTAAGAGCACAGGGGGTCACAGTTGACCCCTATTCTGTGAAGGTAGCTCCTTGTGGGGTAGCCTTTTGTGGGTAAGGAGCTAAATGAAGTTCTTTATTTTGTTGGGTGCCTGGAGTTTCCATACCCAATTGAAGGTTCCCTCCTCGTCTGTTCCAAAACTGCTATTAGCCTTGCTTAGAAGAGAGTAAGCAGAACTGTTTGAGTAGTAGCCACTAGCAATTAATCCCCAGATAAGAGTGTCCTCTTTTGTTGGATTTGGGGGGATAAAAACAGAGTTTATCAAGTTGAGGATGTTATGGGGTAGATCCATGGATAAGGTGGATAGGTCTAAAGCCCCTGAATCTGGACTTGTTTGGCTTTGTGCCTAGACCGCTTGCATTTTATAAAAATAAAAAAGACTAGGACACCCCCTTCTTTTCTTTTGATTTATGATGCATCAATCCCACTGAATGAGGTTCCATATATATTTTGGATATATGAATGTCTAGTTTATAAAGAATGGCCAATTGATGTTAATGTTCATTTATATTTGAAGAAGGGGAGTTTTGAAGCAATAATAAAGTTGTTTTCGTGTGACTTATTGATCACGGATTCGAGTCGAGGAAATAGTCATTAATGCTTGTATTAGGATAGCTATCTACATCACACCCCCTGAGATGCGGCCATTCCCCTAACCCTGCGTAAATGCAGAATGCTTTGTGCGTCTGGCCGCCTTTTTGTTCATTTATATTTAAAACTAAATTTAGTGCTGAAAACAACCAATAACCATGTATGTTTCTAAAGCAGATTTTACTTTTTGGTTGAAAACTAAAATAAAAAGGATTTTTCAATTTACCACGTTATTTTTCAAAACCTAGTTTTCTATAAAAGGAAAAAAAATTCAAACCACGAGTAAAAACATATTGCTTTGTTTCTTGAAGTCAAACTAAAATATCTTAAGAAACAAAAGAAAATCGAAATGTAGTTTTTGCAAAAACTAGTACTCCATAACTATTCTCCAAAAATATTTATCAAAGAGTAATTTGCAGTAGCAACACAAACTTTTCCCAAAATAGTCTTGAGGAACTTTTCCAAAACCTATTTTTTTGTAAACTAACCAAAACCAAATCAAATCCCCGCAATAGTTAATTTTATTTGCTATATTAAATAATGGAGAAATTTGTTTTTGTCATGGGTACAGTGAATTAAATAATGAATCCAGATTCCGGATATCAGGGCCGAAAGAGTACGTATCCAATTATTAACTGGGGTAATATTAATCTCTTCAAAGAATTTTGGGATTTAATATTGAAATAAGTATACAGCAGAAGGAGTTAAAAAGGAAACCTTTGATTGACACAAGATACTGAAGCACATGGCTTTGGAACAGCACACGTGTGTCCATGGACTAAGCCAAGTCAGTATCCAGTACGATGCTGGTCCACTTTACTCTTCTTTTTTCTTTTTTCTTTTTTTTGGCTCTACTTTCCCAATATTTTTTTCTTTTTCTGAATTTTAATAGCAAGACCGTTTTTATTTATATGACACATTTTGCTTATCGAGATCTAACTACATGTATTTTGACCAACAGTTTAAAAAATACTCCATCTGTTTCAATTTAGATGAGGTATTTTGACTCGGCACGGAGTTTAAGAAAAAAAAAGACTTTTGAAACATATGGTCTTAAAAGTTTAAGGGGTCAAAGCTTTGTGCGGCTATGATATTTTTGTGGTTATAAAAGCTTCTCATTAAGAGTAAAAAATGGGTAAAATAAAGAGTTTAAAGTTGAATTATTTCCAAATTTAGAAATGGGTCATTTATTTCGGAACAGACTAAAAATTAAAGTACCTCATCTAATTTGAAACGGAGGGAGTATACTTTTTATCATATTGACATGAGAAAACTTGCGACTTATAATACTTTTCATATAATTTTTAAATATATAAATTTTAATTTTAAAATACTGAGTCAAACTAATTCAATTTATCTTCAAATTAGTCAACTTAACTTTCGATAAACAAAATGTGTCATTTAAATTTAAACATCGGAAGTAACAAAATGACATCGTTGAGTTGAAAATTAAATAGAGGGAAAATGAGAATTGACAAAAATTATATTATGAAATGTTACTTTTGTGTATCACAACATATGTGCCACAAGAGAGCTATTCCAACGGTTTCAGTAAAGGTTGATATATTTCGACTTGAACTGTTCTTTGTTGGCAGGGGTGGAGCTAGGTGCATGCAAGGGATTCAGCCGAACTCAAAAGTTAAATTGTGTATATAAAGTCAAATTTTTATTTTATATATATTTATTAGATGTTGAATTCTTCAGTTTTTTTGCGTGTATAGCTTTTTATTTTTTAAATTTCATTGATGAAAATACTGCTTCCGCTATCGTTTGTTGGTCCCAGCTATTCAAATTCCGACACTAGAGTTTATAACCATGTGCATGACCAAGTGACAAGACAACGGATTTTGGTCCCGTAATCAAAGATTTAGCTGTTAGCAGTACGATAAAATTAAATCTGATAAAATAGAAATGTAAAAATCTTCAAGTTACTTCATAACAAAATGCGAGGACACATGATATTTATTCGCGGCGACTAATCTTGACCTCTCATAACTTGAACTTCGACATATACCAAACGTCCCTTTTAACATTAGACACACATCAATTTGATGTCAAATTGTGACTGTTGTTTGTAGCACAATAATTTGAAACAGAACATGGTAAAATTCAACCACAACAACAACAACCCAGTAAAATCTCACAAGTGGAGTCTGGGGAGGGTAGTGAGTATGCAGACCTTACCCCTACCCCGAGGGAGTAGAGAGGTTGTTTCCGAAAGACCATCGGCTCAAGAAGACGAAAAGAAACAAATACATCAATACCATCATTCGAAAACATAAAAATAACAACAGCGACATAAGAACCAGAAAATAGATGAAAAGCAATAACAATAACAATTAAATAAGGCACTATACTATGGAAAACCGAAGAATAGTGTGAACACAACATTAACCACTAGCAATCTAAGACGAACCCCTATCAGGCTAGCCTCACACCCGCTACGAAGTAGAAATTGCTCAACTACCTCCTAGCTCTACAACCCTAATGCTCAACATCCACACCTTATTCCTATCAAAGGTCATGTCCTCGAAAATATGAAAGCCACGCCATGTTCACCTATCCCCAATATTTCTTCGGTTTCCTTTTACCTCTTCTTGTACTCGCCAAAGCTAACCGCTCACACCTTCTTATCGGGGCATCTGGGCTTTTCCTCTGCACGTGCCCGAACCATCTGAGCCTCGCTTCCCGCATCTTGTCATCCATAGGAGCCACACTCACCTTCTCCCGAATAGCTTCATTCCTAATCTTATCCATTCTAGTGTGCCCGCATATCCACCTCAACATTCTCATTTCTGCTACTTTCATCTTCCGAATAAAATTCAACCATAAGAAGAAATGATAAAGCATTTTTATGCTTTTATCAAACAAAACAGTAACTATTGGAAAAAAAAGAAGTTTGCATATGTGCAGTAGATAGAAAGGGGGGGCTACTATACCTTTAGTAGATTAATATAAGTGGTAGTACTACTACTAACTTAAAGAACATTTTGGCAAT